GGGACGTTAAAAACTGTTCATAATCTCATGTAAATAGCACATAATATTAAAAATGTAGAGCACCGCTTGGCAGCTTGTACCGTACATCTCTCGTAACAAATTTAATCAATTTCGTTCCACAGAAATTGCAACGTACCATAATTTCCATTATGCATTAATTTAAACATTTGATGCCGCTTATATTAAATTTTATCAGTTTATTTTCATCCATTAAGATCGTTTCCTTTGGCACGCTGATTGTCTGCATTCGAAACAAAGAAACAGATGAACAGAGATGGCCGTATCTGTGCTGTTTCTGTGACACGAAGTAGGGCATTAAATACAATATCATTAACAGATTTACAAATTTAAGTACGGATTACCCTATGTTTGTGCTCTTCGTGGACCAGTATAATGCCTCTGCCTTCATTAAATTTGTGTACAGATTGTGTCATAAAGATAATTTGTTTTTACAGACAAAATATACGTCGCTGGTGGAAATTATATATGTGGATATTTCAACTTGGTGGAAGTTTATGACCCGGACACCAACCAGTGGACTTTCGTTGCATCAATGATTTCTGAACGTACCGGTCTGTCTTGCGTCGCGTTCCACGGCTGTCTGTACGCCCTAGGTGAGAACTCTGGACATTCTGAGTGATGCTCCTGTATCATTCTTACAGAACTTGCTATTGTGAAATGTTTTCCTGGTTTTCTTTGAGTGCTTGAGATTTTATGAACAGCAATTTTCTCCTGTCATTACAGAGTTAATTTGTCAGTAATTTTAACCCCGATTCGTGGTTTCGATTACATTCTCCAAAAAGAACACTAACTGACTAACAACGCATAATCTCTTGTGGTATCTCAAATAACGTATACCCTATTTTTCCCACAGACCCACTTTCACAGGTAAATATTTTGTACTTGTAGCAAGGGAATTTCAGTTTGCCGTGCTGTTATCCCCAAAAAGCCGGTGGTTTAAAGCGGTCTCCTCGCATTCTTTGCCTTTCGTCAATTGTTTATGAAATTCCGTTTTCAAAAGCGCAGCTTGTGTTTATTCATTAACGGTATTTTCAGTTTCATAAAGAAAAAAACAGATGTCAGGCGCAATTGCCTGATGCAGCAAGTACGAAAATAATGTTGTAGCTATTTGATCCTTAATTTCGTTCCTGGTACTAATACTAACACTGCAATAGGGAATGAATTTTCGTCGTTCTATTTCATTCATACGTTCCGTTTACGTAATATCAATTTCGTCAAGTCCGTTGGGTAAGACGGACGGAGTGTGAAGCACGGAAGATACAAAAAATACATACATACATCTAGAAAGTTATAATTGGTGATCTTGAAGGCTAGATACCACTTGTGATACATAGTCTTAAAAGGAAGGACAATATTAAAATATTTTTAAGTAACTAGATTATGTGGAAAGGGTTCAGCTACCGTCTTTTGTGAATAAGGTAATGAATCTTGTGACTCCATAAATGCCGAACATTTCGTGGCCAGGTTTCAGAGTAATAAATATCAAGAAGGTCCCCGCTGAATTGGGTTAGAATAAGTTTCGTTTGGCAGCTTTTTTTATATTCTGTGACCTGTTATGGATTGTGTGTGTGTGCAGGTTTGCAGGTACCAGGCGGAAGATATGAATATTTCCAGATACGAAATGTCGACTTGTGTTATCAAGAACTTATCGAATGCAAGAGATTACGCCTACAAACACAGAAATAAATTGATGGAAGAGACACGTAAAAAAATGCTGGATTTGGAAAATTAGTGGTTTACATTTGATTACAGCCACATCGAATAATCGATTTACATTTGAAACATTTTTACAACATGTTTCGGTTTCATCGAACCATCTTCAGGTGTAAAATTATATTAACAAACTTAAAACTCAATTACAATTTCTGTTGTGTAGCTTTTTGGAGATGTTCATATCCAGATTATTTTCACATATTGGAGCAAATGTATTGTTTTGAAGTGAATGCTTTTACAAAGCAAATGATTCAAAGAAACACTAATGAATATGACCTGTCGTCAGACAGAACACTAAATAAATAAAATAAATACCGTGTTTTATCTTATCAATATGTGGATTAAACAGCGTTTCAGACAACACACAAACGAATTCTTTGTAGTAAGAAACATAAATGTAAATAAATCGCTATAAAAGTATTCATATGTTTATCCTCCTACAGATATTTTTAGTAATTAAGCACCGTAAAGTGTCTTGCAGTCTGTCTATTTACATTGACTTCTGTCGGGAATTTCTACTGCTAATATGTAAGTAACTTTACCCTGAGACCAGCTAAGTGCGGGTTCAGGGGCGAAGCCCCATAACTAAGTACCAAGGGTGTGATAATGTGCTGCCTGATCAGGGTTATCGACCCCCACATGGGGCGGCGATTAGCAGATAAATAAAAGAAAAACCTGCTTCAATGCCACATGAATCTCACTTAAAGTCAAATGGACTGAATGCGTTTCTTTGTGGTTAGAAGCCGACGTCCAACCGCCTTAGCTATTTCAACACACAATTTCGTATCTTTGTAGGTTTTACTCAGTCTTCGACGATGGATAACGTACAGAAAATAGTTTGCATCGACAACGACACCATCGTCACAAATTTCAGAACTGAATTTCATCTCCTCCTAAATATAAATATTTATCATATTAATTTATAATAACAATTATTGTACTCGGTCATCGTGTTGAGAGAAGAACATGACAGACAGACGCCGACATTCGCTGAGTGGTTTTGACGCAAAACATGCGACGCGTGTCATCATACTGAATACATACAACATAACAGAACGACACAACACCAAAAGTCATACCACGCCATCATTTTATTAACAGGAAGCTTGCTAAACTATAATCCATTCATCCTTTAAGAGAATTATACAATATACCCTATGTTTTGGTCACCTTGGTACCAATTATGAAAAATTAAACAATAGTTTTTTTACAAAAAAATAATAATACATTTTGAGTTTCCTACTTTATGACACTGGCGGGTAATGCAGCACGCGCGATGGGTATAAGAAATATACACAAATTTCAGTCAGGAAACCTGACCTGTAGATCACACTTGGAAAGTCTCCCGGCGGATGGGAGCATGAGGCTTATAATAAGATGAATCTTGGGAACACAGGCTCCGGACTGGGTTCATCTGCATCAGCACAGGGACACGGTAACAGACTCTGGGGTTCCAAAAATCATGGAGATATCTTTGACAAATTATTCTCATCCTCTGGAAGGATTCTGTCCTGCAAAGTTTCTTTTAGTGTAGTGTCTGACGTCATTAAATTGGTAAATTAACTCAATAATATCACATGTCTACAAATATCATTACGCAGGACATGGGAACTACTTTAATTATGTAAGACTTGAGGTTCTCACAGCGGTGAGTATGAAGATATCCGTCTTCTGGGTTATTGCGCTGTGTAGTCTGGTCGATGTTAACCAACGTTTCAGAGGTCATACTGTCTCCGTCATCAGGGCGATGAATCTGCCAATAGGGTGTGAGGTGCTGGGTTTATAGGCCGGGAAGTGAAAGGTGTAGCCATTAACCAAGACGTGGTTAACATAAGACATTATTTATTCCCGCCCGAGCCCATTGTGTTACAAGACTGCAGATTCAGAAAAACAGACTTTGAAATTAAGGAATAAGAACACAAAGCTACACTTTCGGTGCAATCTATTAACTTTAAAACGTAGAAGAGAGAGATGAGATTTTTCTTTATACCTCAAAGAAACGATGACAACCCCAACCGCCATAACAGCTCGAGACTGTTTCTACGATGTCACCAGAGATGTCAGTGCGAGCAGAGCGAGCTCATTTCAAATCGTTTGAAAGATAATTTGAGTGGAGGCATTCCCTTAAATGCCGTGATATACCTTCCCCTCACTTCCCTTGTTGGACACTGAGATTCTGATCGTTCGCAACGGATATTAGAAGCAATTTTAAGCATTTGTTTCACCGCTTCACTTTGGCTGAATGTAAAAGTACACACAGAATTCATATTAATTAAAAAAACAATGGGAAGTGGCGTAACATATACTTAAAATGACTTAATATCGATTGTAGACAATCGGAATATCAGTGTTCTTGGGCAATGACTTCAGAAGAAATAAAAAAAATCTGTGGTCTCATAAATGGAGGAGAAAGCTGGAAAATAAAACTAATGAGACAGAGGATGTATTACAATGGGCAGACATTGTAAAATTTATAAAATCTCTGACAGATGGCGTGGAAATTAGGACAACTAAAATGGATGGAAGAAGGAACAGCGGTAGACCACGTAAGAGATGTAGAGACATTCAGAAATGAAAAACAAGCCCGAAGAATACTTCCGTAGGAAACTCGATGAAATTCGCATCCAGCAAAAGAGTTTTGTTAATATTACTATTGTGCCATCCAAAGCCCTGTTAGCATCTTGTCAAGGATCATACAGAACAGCACAGAACAAGAAGCCGTACACGATCGCTGGAACTCTGATACTCCCTGCTGCGATAGAAATGGTACAAACAATGTTCTGTGAAGATGTGCTCAGCAGCTTCGGAATATACCGCTATCAAATAACACGGTCTCTCGACGGATTGCTGATATATCAGAAGACTTAGAAGAACAGCTGATTGAGAAGTTGAGAAACAAACTTTTTTGAATACAGATTGACGAAGCGACTGATTGTAGTGGTATTGGTCACGTGATAGCTTACGTGCGTTATGTTGAACATATAACAATTAATGAAGACATGTTTTTCTGCAAACCTGTAAAAAGAAGGGCAACAGCACAAGAATTCTTCAAAATTGTTGATGATTTCATGAAAGAAAAGAGCATAAAATGGTCAGACAGTGTTGGAAAATGCACGGATGCAGCTCGCGTAATGGCGGGAAATAAAGAAGGACTGCAGGCCTTAATTAAACGATCAGCACCAGAAGCTATGTGGGGACACTGTATGATACATCGTGAATCACTGGCTACGAAGGAATTATGCCCAGAACTGAGTGAAGTGGTGGATACAGTGATCAAAATTACATAAAGACTCGTCCATTGAAAAGCAGAGTTTTTGCCCAATTATGCGAGGAAATGGGGCACAGTATCAGTCACTCCTTTTACTGTCATTCGCGTCGGATGTCAAGAGGAAATATTGTGGCTCGTGTTTACAACTTGCGAGAAGCAGCAGCACTGTTTTTAGAAGAGGAAAATGTAGCACATGCTTAACATTTTCGCAATGAAAATTTTGTTTCTAAGTTAGCGTACGATATTTTTGAGACAATGAACACGAATATGCAATGGAACGATATTAACATCATTGTAGTGACTGATAAAGTGAAGGCATTTATTGGGAAGTTGGGCTTGTGGGTCAGAAAAGTAGAAGGGAACATATTTTCTCGTTTGAAGGATTTTGTTGAGGAAAACAGTGTGGAAACAAATGACACTAGAATTGATCAGTGTATCAAAGATCACTTGGTTAATCTGCAGTCCAGGTTTTCTAAGTATTTTCAGAAGCAGTAGGTGATAAATACAAATGGATCAAGGATCCATTCCATACTGATTCGCCTCAAAATTACTATATTGACGTTATATATGATACTTCTTTAAAAGTTAAGTTTCCTAGGAAGTCGTACATAGAATTTTGGGTGGGCACTGGATGGGAGTTTCCTTACCTTAGCAGGAAAGCTCTGAACATCCTCCTTCCTTTCGCAACATTCTATCTGTGCGAGACTGGATTTTCAGCAGTGGCTGCCATCAAAACAAAGTATCGTTCTACGATGAACCTGGAAAACGACCTTAGAGCGGCCATTTCAAAACTCCAACCTCGGTATGATAAGTTATGTTCACAGAAGCAACCACATCCATCCCACTATTCCAGGAATGAAGCGTATATTTTATTATTATCTTCGTGTTCTGTCTGACGACAGGTCCATATATTATGAACAGGATCCTTCCATCCTCTTCAGGTTGTCAGGGCCCT